TCCTCCTCCTCCTCCTCCTCCTCCTCCTCCTCCTCCTCCTCCTCCTCTTCTTCTCCACAGCTCTCTCCCTGCTAGTGCTGATGATGTTCCTTAGTTGGGTCATGAAATGTGTTCAAGAAAGCCACCACCTCAGGGAACACCGAGGATCCCATTATTCAATGCTGAGCTACAAATATTCTCTTCTATCAGCTTATACCATACTGAGAAACAGGCATGTGAGAAAGAAATTCAAAATAAGGCTACTTTGATGGTTTTAAGATGGGATAGAAACCAACTTGGAGAAGCTTTCAAGATTGTTACAAACGGCAAAGGAGCATTTAGTGGTGCCTGTTTTTTGACCTAGCCCACCTTGGCAAGGAATAAGCACTGAGGACTAGTGCCTTAACACCATCTCCTTTCATATCTTTCTTTATTACTCTTTTCAGGGGCAAAAAGGATACAGTTCCAAAATAAGAATTAAGGTTTTCCGTGTTTCAAACTGGTCCAGCAGTTGAGTAATTCGATCATGGGAAAGTTGGACTAGAATATCTCTTTCCCGATAAGCCTGCTCTCTCGTTCGACTTCGCAGCGGGATGAATTTCGCTGCACAAGCCACACGGTTGGCTTTATGGATGACTCTCTTGAGAATGCTGAAGGAGCCCCTGAAAACCATTAAATATTCAGAGAATAAAGGGATATACTCAAATCTCAAGTTTGGGAAAAAAGGGTTCCCTTAGTGTCATATTTTCCACCAAAATAATAGTGGATGCTAAGGGGAAAAAAATCATTTTTACCTTCCTATTTCCTGTTTAACCTCGTAGAAAGAATGAAGTTTCCTTCGTGGGCTTCGCTTCTTCGCCTCTTGACTTTTCTTGTCTACAATAATCAGAATAAGAATCAAAGTGGCAACAATGACAGAAATGCTATTTGGCTTCCAAGCAAGAACTGGTGGGACCATCAAATACAGGTAGTCCTCGGCTTACGACCACAATGGAGCCCCAAATTTCTGTTGCTAAGCAGACAGTTGTAAAGTGAGTTTTGTGCCTTTTTACAACCGTTCTTGCCATACTTGTTAAGTGAATCACTGCAGATGTTAAGTTAGTGGCACGGTCGTTAAGTGAATCTGGCTTTCCTGTTGACATTTCTTTTCAGGAGGCCACAAAAGGGGATCAAATGACCCTGGGGCAACCATCATAAATACAAGTCAATATTTATTAGCAACTGACTCATAATATGAAATAAGAAAGATTAAATAAGTCAGTGGAAGCAAAAGGTTTTCAAAGGAAAAAACCCAAGAAAATCCAACTGCTTTTTGGAAAAAGCACCTTGGGGAGAACTGGGCGATTGAGAATCTACACAGACCTTTCACGAAGGAGCTGGAGAAAAAAAGACAAAATACAAGGAGCTGTCTGTAAGGGGCCATGGAGATCTTCTAGCCTAGCCCCCTTCCCAGCCTGGAGCCTCTACCCTAGGCCAGGCAAACGGCAGCCTCTTCTTCTTCAGTGATGGCACACTCACAGCTGTTCCATTAATTGCTGTCTAGACAGGATCTTTCTTTGATAAGTATCAACCCTTTCTTTTTGCCCTGACCTTGGGTGCTTTGGAGTATAGGTTGATCCCCATCTTCTCTGTGACAGTCCCTAAATATCAGGGGTGGGCAACTATGGCCCTTTTATGAATTATGGACTTCAACTCCCAGAATTCCTGAGCAAGCCATGCTAGCTCAGGAATTTTGGGAGTTGAAGTCCACAAGTCATAAAGGGGCCATAGTTGCCCACCTCTGCTAAATATTGTCTCCCCCAAATCCTTCTCTTCTTTAAATTAGTTCCCTCAATCGTCCACTGTACAGTTTAGCCTCCAGAGAGAAAGAAGGGAGGGAGGGAGGAGGGAAGGAGGGAGGGAGGGAGGGAATGAAGGAAAATAAAGAATAAATGAGAAGAAAAGCCACCAAGTCAGCATACCTTCCTGCACCACCAGCTCCGCTTTGCAGACCACCTCCCCTCCAGCGTTTTTAGCCATGCAAGCGTAGACTCCTCCATCCTCGGCCCGAGTGTTGTAGAGGACCAGAGAGTAGCTAGTGCTTTCGTTGGACTGGTAGATCCTTTCGCTGTCCAGCAACAAGGAAATTCCCTAGAAGGAAACGAGGGAAGCCGGTAAAATAAGGTAGATACCTGCAATTCTGGCCCTTCACTTGGGCCTCAGGCAGGGGCAGCCCCATCTAAATTCTTGGTTTAAGAATATATATCTGGGGAAGGCTTGCACCAAGATGGAAGAAGGACTTACGATACAATATTTATAAACTGAGGTAGTCCTCGACTTACAATGAGAGTTCAAAGTTACAACAGCACTAAAAAAAGGGACTTAGGACTGTTTTTCACATTTATGACCATCGCATCATCCCCATGGTCATATGATCAAAATTCAGATGCTGGGCAACTGACTCATATTTATGACGGGTTGCAGTGTTCCCAGGGTCACGTGATCCCTTTTTGCAACCTTCCTGTAAGCGAAGTCAATGGGGAATCCAGATCCAGTTAATAGACGTGTTACTGGCTTAACAACTGCAATGATTCATTCTACAACTGTGACAAGAAAGCAAGTAAAATGGGTCACAATTCATTTAACAACGGTCTCTCTTGGCAACAGAAATCTTGGGCTCAGTTGCAGTTATAAGTCAAGGACTCTCTGTATTATAATATTTACGACGGTTGCAGTGCCCCGGGGTCTTGGAATCCCCTTTTGCTGCCTTCTGCAAAAGTCAATGGAGGGAGCCAGATTCACTTAACAACCATGCGACTAACTTAACTTCAAGGATTCGCTTAACAGGCATGGCAAGAAAAGTTTGCAATATGGAGCAAAATTCACTTAACAACTGCCTCGTTTAGTAACAGAAATTTGGGTCTCAATTGTAACCGTAAGTTGAGGTCTACCTGTAATTACTTTTTTTTTTCTAAATCCACACAGCATATTTTTTTCTATCAACAAAGGGGTCTGTAGCAGAGGTGGATATTCAGCAGGTTCTGACCAGTTCTGGAGAACTGGTAGCAGAAATATTGAGTGGTTGGGAGAACCGGCAAATGCCACCTCTGACTGGCCCCGCCAACCCCATCTCTTCTCTGCCTCCCATTGAGTCCCAGGCTGGGTCTTCTTTGGTTGCCCTGCGCAGGAGAACGGAGCTGGAAAGCAGGTTAGTGGGGTGGGGAGGGAAGGGGGATTTTGCAGTATCCTTCCCCTGCCACGCCCACCAAACCACACCCACAGCAAAAAATTTCAATCCTGCCACTGGTCTGTAGCCATTTCTTTTTTTATTTCCACCCAGGTTTGGGGATGTTTTTGACGTACCTTGAACCACCCGACAACTGGCTGAGGATTGCCTTCAATGATGGCTTGGAACTTGGCCATTTCCCCACACCGAACCTGGACATCCTCAAGGGGCACCTGCATGTATGGTGGACCTAAATAAAAGAAAAATGTGAAGTGCAGTTGGACAGATCTAGCGCTTGATTATTTTCTTGCAGATGTTTCATGACCTGACTAAGCAACGTCATCATTGCTAGATGGGAGTGGGGTGTGCTCTCAGTGGTTTAAGTAGAACTATTCTATTTTCAGGAGGAGAAAGGAGAAAGCAACCAGAGTCATGATAAGACTTGTACCATGAACTGTTTAAACAACGTTTGGGTTTCGGGGGGCCCTTCTTGTATCTGTGGGGTCCTTGGTGCTCTCTGGGCTCGGTGGTTTTCTTGCAGCATGGAGATGGGGCTTTTAGAGAGGGAGAGGAGGAGAAAGAGGAGCTGGAGGAAGAAGAGGAAGGGAAAGGGGGAAGGAGAGGGAGAGGAGGAGGACAGGAGGGAAGGAAGGAAGGGAGATGGACTACAACAACTGTGGATGCTCTCTGAGCTTAGTGGTTTTCTTGCACACATTTCTTGACCCAACTAGCTAACATCATCAATGCTAGAAGGGAAGATGGGGTCGTGGAGAGGGGGGGAGGGGGAGGAGAAGGAGGGAATGGGTGGATGGTGTCTTTCATGTTCTCTGAGTTTGGTTGTTTTGATGCAGACATTTCATAACCCAAATATGTAACATCATCAGTGCTAGATGGGAGAAGGATTTGCTCTTATGTAATAGACTAGCGGACTATTGAAAAGAGGGAAATTGTCTCAATCTTCTTCCGCTGTGTATTTGTCCATGCATGTGTTATCCAGTCTGCAACCTTCATTTATTCAACTCCAACATTAAAAGCCTTGTATTGCTCCGGATTGCTCCGCATCTGCAATAAGGTGATTTATCTCATGACACCATTGCGCAGATGCTGTTTTGTGTCTTTCATTGTGTCCTTGATTTCAAAATGCAGCACAACCCACACTGTCCCCCTCCCTTCACAGGTGATAATGTGGGGTTAGAACTAGGTAGCCCTATAATCTTGAAAATCTGAATAGCTAGAAACACAGTTCAACCTAGCCTTGAAACTTCATTTTGTTTTGGTCCACATGGAGTCATAGAACATAGAATATTATTGTTGAAAGGAACCCTGGAGATCATCAAAGTCCAACCCCTCACCTTGAGGCCACGTCAACAGATAAGAATCTCTTACTTGTGACACTCTTTTCGCCTTTTTTATCAACACAGGTTCTCTCTGCGATGCCCTCAGAGGCTTCCCTGGCTAAATCCAAAATGTTCTCTGTTCCTTCATTCCTGAACCACGGCACCTCCGCCATCATTTCGAAGACCCTTGACAATTGAAACCAAGAAGCAGACTTATGACCAGGAATGAGGAGATGAAACAATCAAACTTCAGAGACAGGTAACCCCTGACTTACAACTAAAATGGAGCCCAAAATTTCCATTGCTGAGCGAAACTGTTGTTAAGTGAGTTTTATCCCCATTTTCTTGCCACAGTTGTTAAGTTGGTAATGTGGTTGTTAAGCGAATCTGGCTTCCCCATTGACTTTGCTTGTCACAAGATTGCAAATGGGATCGCGTGACCCCCGGAATTCTGCAACCGTCATACCTATGAGTCAGTTGCCTCATGTCTTAATTTTGAATACCTGACCATGGGGATGCCATAATGGTTGTAATTGTGAAAAACGGTCATAAGTCACTTTTTTCAGTGCCTTTGTAACTTCAAACAGTCACTAAATGAACGGTTGTAAATCAAGGACTACTTGTAGGTTTAAAGAAATTCAGCAAACTTACTTGGCAGAGAGAATAGCACATTCAGACACACTTTTCTCTTGGGGAATGATGTTTGTTTCCCTGGTCAATGTGTCACTTTCTCCGGTTTTGCCAGCAGGCGCTTGCAGTTCTGATAGTCACAAAAATAGAAATATTTAGATTAGTTGCTGCTAGAAATAAAGTGTTTTATCAGTTACTATCTCAACCCTACAGAAAAATACTGCACTGTTTTTAAACTTAACACTGCTAATGTTTGTACTCTTTTGTTCACTTTTCTTAAAAATCAGTGTTTTCTCTTATTTCAGTCTTAAATTCTATGGAATTTGCATTTTTATGATCTTTTATTTTGTTTTAATTGCTTTGGTGCTTATTTGCTGATAAATAGATTAAAACAGTGCTGCAAACCAAACCTGTCAGTGACCTTGGGTCAGCCCCTCTCTCTCAACCCAACCCATCTCACAAGATACTTGTGATGGAAAAAACAGGAGGCAGGACTATAAAATATGTTCGCCATCTTGAGTTATTGGGATACAAATAAATAATGAGAAGGAAGGAAGGAAGGAAGGAAGGAAGGAAGGAAGGAAGGAAGGAAGGAAGGAAGGAAGGAAGGAAGGAAGGAAGGAAGGAAGGAAGGAAGGAAGGGATATTTTTTTTAACCATTCTCCATTTGACAAGAAATATTGTGTATATCATCTGCTGTTTAGCTGTAATCATCGCCATTGAAAAATAATGTCCATTGTTGGTCCATCTACCATATTCAATTGCATGTGGGGGTAAAAAATTGTGCCCCCAGCCCCCCCACAAAATGATAGACAGAACAGTGGAACAAAGGAGCAATAAATGAAGTGCTCTGTAGCCTTCAGTGTGTGATGGTGCAGAAGAATCTGACTTCCGTTTGGTTATCTGAGATGGAGAATAAAATGTCCTTTATCATCACAAAAACATTCTAGTTGTGTATTTCCTCCATAGTGGAGCTCTACAACTGCATCAAAACTGCTTCTGGACACACACAGGGCTTCCTTAATTTCCACTTTAGGTGAAATGACAGGTTTTTTTGATACCCTGCCATGGGGGAATCCTATCCTATCTTTCTGGCCCCTGAAATCCAGATGGTGACCAAAACAATGATGGCATCTAAGCTTCTCCTGTTTTCTTACGAGCACTTGTGTCTGCAATATGGTTTTAAAAATGGGGCATCAATCATATCTTCATGGCTCCCATCTTGGCTTTTGGGGTCACATCCTGCATCCATTTTCATTTCAGAGAAATGACCATTAGCTCAGAAGAAGGAGGCTCCAAAACTCACTGGAGAAGATCTACATAGAAGATCTTTAACCTAAGAAGTTAGTTAGTTACTTTATTTATTTATTTGTTTGTTTGTTTGTTTGTTTGTTTATTTATTTATTTATTTATTATTTATTTATTTATTTATTTATTTATTTATTTATTTATTATTTATTTATTTATTTATTTATTATTTATTTATTTATTCATTCATTCATTCATTCATTCATTTATTTATTATTTATTTATTTATGTCAATTGCTTACAAGATAATAGGTATAATAAAAACATAGTTATGAATACGTGGATACATATAAATAAAAAAATAAGAAAAATAAAAAGAAACAATAGGACAGGGACGGTAGGCACGTTGGTGCGCTTATGCACGCCCCCTACAGACCTCTTAGGAAAGGGGTGAGGTCAATAGTAGACAGTCTAAGGTTAAAGTTTTTGGGGTTTGGGGAAGAAACCACAGAGTCAGGTAGAGTATTCCAGACATTGACCACTCTGTGGCTGAAGTCGTATTTCCTGCAATCAAGTTTGGTGCGGTTTACCTTGAGTTTGTATCTATTGTGTGCTCTTGTATTGTTATGATTGAAGCTGAAGTATTCATTGATAGGTAGGACATTGCAATGTATGATTTTATATACTATACTTAGATTGGACCGAAGGCGGTGTAGTTCTAGATTTTCTAGGTCTAGCATTTCGAGTCTGGTGGCATAAGGTATTCTGCAACAAGTAGAGGAGTGGAGAACTCTTGTGAAATATTTCTGGACTTTCTCAACTGTGTTAGTATCAGATACGTAAGTTCTTAGGATGCCTATAGTACTACCTCAACTGACAAACTTTTTCAGATGTGGACTATCAAGTTAATCTGCTGATCCAGCAAGAGTTGGGTTTCTCCAATTTGAAGAGGCTCTATAGATCTGTAGAATATCTAAGGCCTTGATGCTCTTGAGATGCTATTGGGCCTCTTCAGCTCCTAAGGAAGTGTTCCACTGGAAGCATCTTTGGAGTTATGGAGTCTCCAAATGGAAAAGGATCCAAGATTTGAATCTGTAATCACTGGGAATAGAAAGTTATGGTTTGGTGTAGACTTCATGACATGACATGGTCCTCTTTTTTAAGAATAGGAGAAGAAATTACAAAAAGAGAACTTGAAATATTACAGTGAAATTAGGAGGACCTGGATGTAGATTTTGCTTAGGGTTTGCTTAGGAACACCTTTGTAGAAGAAGATTACTTTTCCCAAAATAGTTTAACAGATCTTGAGTAGATCCCCAGATCAACACTGCAGATGGAACAATATCTTTTCCTATTCAGGACAGTAGATTAGTTTGTTCTTTAGTTTAATCTATTGTTAGTGTTAGGGATATACCCTAGCAGAATGTGCACAGCAGTCAGGCAGTCAGGCGAATATGAGAGAAAGCATTTTTTAGTTTTCACACTCAGTAAAAACGGATACACTGTCTTAGTTGAATAGTTTATTCCATTAAGAGTTTAGCAGAGTCAAACAGTCCAAATATCATTCACTAGTGTTCAGTCAGTTCAGTCCGGAGATTGTTCAATTGCAAAAATCCAGTGTCAAAAAAAGTCAGTTAACTTACAATGTCAATCCATAAATCAGTCCAGTAAATATCTTCTCAAAGTAGATTAGATATGCAGCATTCAAAACTCTTTCCTCCTTCGACGTCAGCAACAGGGAACACGCAGAACAATCAACCATCAACCCAGTAGCAATCCAGGTTCTCTAGCTCCCTCTTATGGCAGTTTCTCAACCGCACCCAAATTATATCATTTAGAGTTTAAAGTG